GCCTGGCAAAGTGTCTGGCACAGACTGGGTGCTTGCCTTACACTAGTTCTACCCTTTTCCTTTCTCCTGTAAGGGAGAGGCTCTGGCCTCAACTGAGTGTTTACTTGGGGAGGCCAGGCTCTGCCAGGGGGAGGAGGGGCCCGGGCTGGGCCAAGGGTCAGGGGAAGGGAGGGAGAGGCTCTGGCCTCCAGATGTGCACAGCAGCTGGGCCCGCTCCCGGGCCCAGGGCCATCCCAGTCTCCCTCCAAGAAGGGGAGGGCCCGGAAGGAAGAAGTATTCATTTCGCAGCTGAGTGGCTCTTATAGCCTCTTGAGAAACGAAGGCTGGCTTTTCTCTCCTCTGAGATAATCACTGTGTACACCCCACATGGAAGCAAATGGTATCCTGTCCTCAATGCCAAAAATGATTTATTGTGACCAGCAGGAGCGATTTCTAGGTGATGACGACTAAAATCCAGTCATTTAGCTGGAACACAGAAATGTCCGAGGGCAATGTTTTCTTTCCTCTGGCTCAGGTGAGAGGGGAGCTCACGATCACATCCGTGGAGAGCTGTCAGCTGGGGCGCCCAGGAGACCTCTGCCACAGCCACCCCTGCTCGTGTGCTGCTGGAGGAAGGCTGGCACTGGCCGTCTTGTTTGGGTCACTAGCTGTGTGGCCTGGGACAAGTCACCGTCCTTTTCCAGGCTCAGTGTCCTTTTCCATGAAATGTGGGTATCAACGGCACTTACATCCCAGAATCTTCATGAGGACAAGGACAAGAGAGCACAGAGCACAGGGGCTTTGCAAACGGCACGCCTCCCTAATGAACGCCAGACACTCCCATCAGTACATCTGTGGCATTCGCCCATCACGTTCTGGGTCCGTGAGCGATGGCTGATCGCCTGGCCCCTCTGTCTCTGAGCCAGCTCTGCTTCCCAAGCCCAGGTCTGGGCACACGCAGGGACACAGTGCACTGTCGCAAATGAGGGAGCAGATGGGGACCAGCTCAGGGTCCTGAGAAGCTTGCCAGGCTGGGCAGTAGTTACTGATGGACTCCACCTTTCAGCTTCCTTTTCCGTAAAGCGAAGGCTTAGGATGGTTTCCTTGTGCCAGGAGAGCTCTTTCTTCCGATAGAGTATTACTCAGAACTACAAAACGTGAAATGGGCCAGGTCAGAGCTGTCTGCGTTCAAGTCATAAGGAAACCGGAGTGTCTTCAAGTCACAGTCCTGGGACGGCACCCGACGTGAGACCCTCTGGTGTGAGGGAGGATGCCGGAAAACTGTGTTCTGGCCAGCGCAGCCACTGCCTCACTGGGGACCCTCAGGCACACCCTCCTGCTCCTCCCACAGGAGGTGTTTGGGCCAGAAGGGCCACCATCTAGCTCTGCCGTTTCATGTTCTAGCTCAGGACACTGAGTTCTCACTCATTTCCAGGACTTCTGAGATGTTATAGCCATTCAAGAAATTCCCAGCACAGAGAAGCTGGACCACATATCTTCTTTCTTAGGTGCTCTCTGATGGCTGGGCCCACTGGGCTTGGGCCTCCAGGGACCCAGGAATTCCTGCAGGGTCTGCCTCTGAATTCTTTGGCCCCCACGGCCAGGCCGACTGCAGCAGGGACGGAGGACGAGGTCTGACTCGCTGCCCCGTCCCACCGGGCCAGCGCTCACAGCTCAGCAACACCGCAGTGGTTGGGAGGGAGGGCCCTGCAGCCAAGCGGCCTCCATTTGAGTCCTGGCTCCACCTCACCCAGGCCAACCTGGACAAGTCGCCAAACCTCACGGAGACACAGTTCCCTTCATCTGTGACATAACCTTGTGAGGATGCTCTTCCCCCTTCTCGCCTCCTTGAGGTCTTTTCTCAAAGGTGACCTCTCAAGGAGACTTTCCCCAAGCACAGGTCACTTATCAACCACGCCACATGTCTTACTCACCTGGTTTGTATCTTCTCCACTAGACCATCAGCGCTAGGAGGGCAGGGTTTGTCTCTTCCGCTCACTGCTGCATCAGCAGTGCCAACAACAGTGCTTGGCACACAGCAAACACTTGAAGAGTGTACCTGCCAGCGGGCCAAGGGCAGTGGTGTGCTGGCACAGGCTAAACAACCGGCTCTCTGAGGGAGGGGAGGCAGCCCTGGTTTGCAGTGTCTGCCAGTTGCCAGGTGAAAATTCTCCCACCATGGCTGACTTCAAGGTACCAACGTGGCAGCACTGAGTGTGTAGTTAGGTTACAGTGAAACTGCAATGGAAATGGGACGACCGAAGAAGAGGCAGAGGCCACCAAGGCAGGCAGAGTGACAGCAGGAAGCGACATTAACTGTGTGGTCTTCACATTCCCTCCAGTACAGCATCTCCCAGACCCCTGGTCTGGGGGTCCTCTCGCCGGGCTCTGCAGCGGAGTCGTCTGAGGAACACGTTGTACAGGCACGCGCCTGCAGACCCCAGAGTTTGAGGATGCCCGCTCTAGTTTATGCGCCTAGGAACAGGCCCGGGCTGCACCATCCCATATAATGGCTACTAGTCATAATGGCTGTTTACATTCAGATGAATTAAAATTAAATCAAATGAAAAATTTCAGTTCTTTTATGTTCTATGTCTTGATAAAAGTATAGGTTACACAGGTGTAAGCATTTGTCGAAGTTGATTGGTTATTTAAGATCTATGTGTTCCACTCTAGATAAACTACATCTTAATAATAAAATAGTCCTTTAGAAAAAAAAAATCAGTTCCTCCACTAGACTAACCACATTTCGAGTGCTCCCTAGCCACATGCGGCGGGTGGCTGCCATAGTGAACTACACAGATTACAAATCACTTCCATCGCTGCAAAAAAATTCCACTGGGCAGCAATGGAAGAATATCAATTAGTCCCAAAAGTCATGCCCTACCAGAAAGGAATCATACTGAACCCCACACCTAGGAGTTCCTGGCTGGAACGCATGGGGACTGTGGAAGGTCATAGTCCATAGTCACCCCGATGACTTTTTCTCTACCCCGAGCACATGTCGAATGCCTGGGTTCCCGGCCAGCTCTCCCGTCAACACACAGAGCCCCGTGGGCAAGCCCCTCAGTCTTCTCAACTGTGAACCCAGATTCCCCGCCTCTGCCCTGCCTCCCTCATGCTATCAGGGAGCAGATCAAAGTTAAGCAGAACCAAACATGTTGGGGTGGTGCCTTCTCAACAGTCTGCAGGTGGGAGGATGCAGATCCGGCACCCATGTATGCTACATTCTGCCCATCACCCAGCGCAAGTCCAGCCAGACACGAAATCTATTCCTGGAGCGGGCTTCCTGTTCTGCTGAGCAGGACTGGACACGTGAGGGGAGGCTGCTAGCCTCATCTGCTCCAAGCTCTTCAGGGGAGCTTCCCACCTCCCCGAGATGGTCCCTGGGCTGGGAAGTCTTTCCCGAAGCCCCCAGATTCTGCCCTGTCTCTTCGTCTCAGTGATGCTTTTCCTGGCTCATCACACTAACAACAATAGCCAACATTTATTAAGTGCTGACTACGAGCCAAGCATTTTACATCCATTATATCCTGTAATCCTTATAACAACCCCAAGGAAGAGCTACAACTATTATCCCCATTTTCAGATGCATCTGGGCTTGCCCAGAGCCACTTAAGTGGAGGAACTGGGATCTAAACTCAGGTCTGACATCAGGATGTCTGCTTCGCATGCTTACCACCACACTGGATGTTCTCCAGGGCAGAGACTGTGTCTCATCCTTCCTCGTTTCTCCAGGGCTTCCCATTAGGTTTAATACATTATTATTTTTTTTAATTTATTTATTTTTAGAGAGAGGGGAAGGGAGGGAGAAAGAGAGGGAGAGAAACATCAATGTGTGGTTGCCTCTTGTGTGCCCCCTACTGGGGACCCGGCCCACAACCCAGGCATGACCCCCAATCGGGAATCGAACCAGTGACCCCCTGGTTCACAGGCCAGAGCTCCATCCACTGAGCCACACCAGCCGGGACAAGTTTAATACATTATTGATAAATACTTATTAAATACATGAATGAGAGAAGGAATAAAAGGACAGGAATAAGAAAGAGTGACTGTCACTTCCCCTCAAATCTTTCAAAAGCCCCCTTGGTTCTCCCAGATCACAAACCTTGTCCACTACCTCATGAGGTCTGCAGGACGAGTTCCCGCCTGTCGAGGTCCGACCTGGGTGGAAAGCCGGGAAGGGAATGTGTGCCTCCCTGTGGGCCCAAACTTTCCTTCCTGACAGACGCAGAAAGGCTTTCATGGAAGCATAGCCTGCTGGGGCAGAAAAGGATCCTTGGGTCCACTAAAATCCAGCCTCTTATTTCACAGACTGAGGCCCAGAGGGGGAAGTGACTTGTCCAAGGTCACACACAGCAAGCTGTCATAGAATGACCAGTACACACTATAACCCTCCTGTCATAAGTGGAAGGCGGGGTGAGGAGGTAGAGGCGTAGGGCACGGTGCTGCCACATCTCAGCAGATAGACCCAGTGGGAGTGTCTGGGTCAGGCAGGCCCCCCTCGCCCTGCACCCACTGTCCACTGGGGTTCTGAGTTCCGTGTTCCTCTGTCCACCAAGGGAGGGCTGGTGGGGCTCAAAGCACAGGCCCAACAGATGGTTTCTATTTGCAGACACTGAGCCTGGTCTTGCCATACTTTTGACCTATTTTGAGGAACTGAGGGCCCCGCTGGCTCAGGGATGGCCTTCCATTCATACCCCTTAACCCACGGTTTGGCAGAAGATCAGATGGATGGTTCAGGGCCAGTGGAGAAAGGGAGTAGAGGAGGAAAACCTTCGAAAATGAGGCTGGGGTGGATGTCTGCAAGCTTGGACCCGGGGGAAGGAATCCTGCTTAGAGTCTTCCGGGTATTTGTGGAAATTCAGGTTCCTGGGACTCACTTCGGACCTGCAGGGTCACACTCTGGGGCTGGGCTGAGGAATGCACATTTCCCCTAAGCTCCCCAGTGCACTGTCTGCAGGCCAACAGCACTGGCATTGTTCAGGTGCAGGTTAGTAATGCAGAATCCTGGGGCCCACCTGGGACGGAAGCAGAGTCCACAGTTTGACAAGATCCCCAGCGATTGCAGGTATCCATCAGGGCTTCTCAAACTTGGGCGTGCACCACAGTCACCTGGGGAGATTGTTAAAACAGATCTCTGTGGGGTGGGGCCTGAGAATGTGCATGTCTTATAGACTGCCAGGTGACGCTGAAGCCACTTCAGTCTCTGACCTGCAAGGAGCATGGGCCCTCTGAAGCCCTATCTCTGCAACTTTTCCTCAGTCTCTTCAGCTCTCTGAGTCTCAATGTCCGCATCTGTAAAATGGATATATAATTCATACCCTTTTCCTAGGATAGTTGTGAGGCTCCAGTGCAATAATAACGTGTTTGAAAGTGCTCTGTGAACTACGATACAAATATTATTCTATAAATCAACTTGACTAATTAACTAATTTAAAAAGACTTTAGGTGATCTCATTTGGCCTTGACAGTCGCTTTGCCTTACAGCAAGTCAGTGGGAGAGCTTTATTCTGCATTCCTAGGCTGCCACACACAAGACCAGGCATGCAGTAAGCACTCAACAAGGGCTAGTGGAATTCGACCCAAGACTTCCGCTTCTCAGCCCGATTCTCTTTCCACAGCAGTCTCTCTCAGTAAGGTAAGGCAGAGCAAATTTTTTAGCAAAGATTGTTTGATAGCTGAGTCCAAAGGCTGAGCTGTGTAGATGCCAGGCACAGCTGCCACCCCACAGGCTCTTCACTGGAGAAAGCCCTGCCTAACTCTCAGGATGATTTGGGATTCCGAGTTCAGAGTGCGGGCCTGGCCCAGCCCTGACATGTGGTGTGTGCACGCTCATTGCAGGGGTCCCCGCTCCCAGCCACCTCCTGGCAGTCCGACCACGCAGGTGCCCCGAGCCAAGGCATGCCCGGGCTCTTGTGTTTATGGCCATGCAGTCCTCACACGGGTTGATACGGCTCCCTGACACCCCCTGAAACAGCATGCCCAACATGCCGCCCGGGAAGGGGGCAATCGCAGCTACGTCCTGCTGAGGGGCCCTTCTAATTATCGGTCCCTATAGCCGGGGCCCCTCAGACCACCATCTCACGGACCAGGACTTTGGCTCCCTGCCACCTGGCAATGCAGAAAAAAGAAGGGTTGATAAACTGCCCCTGGAGGAACATGGTAGCTTGGCTTGGGCCTTTCTGCTCCCAAGAGATAATTTATCTAAACTGCAGCCAGGGGAGGGCACAGAGGAGAAGGGTGGCCTGCATGCTGTGTTGTAGTGTGTCTGCTGGAACTCGGAGGAAGCTGGCCCACCCTTCAGTGCCCCAGATGAGAAAGAAAAAATGGAAAATCTTTACATTACTGTTAATCATCTTGAGTATGAAAGAGGGCACTGTATCAACTTGCCCACAGAGAAGCAGCCCCCGCCCACCTGCACAGGGCTTATTTGGAGACAAGCTGCATGGCCCACCTTGCACTGTCCCCACGGGATGTGTGTGTGTGGTGTGTGTGGTGTGTGGTGTACACGGTGCACATGTGTAGGAGTCACCATTTCTCCTGGACTTTGATGACAATTCGAGGGGTCTCATCAGCTGAGTGTTTTAAAACTACAGCAGACACTTTTTGATTAAACTGCATGTTACTGAGAAAATAAATTGGCTTTTGTTTGGAAAACCCTCTGACTGATGATGTCTCATGATGTTCTTTCTTCTCTACCTTTCACTCATTGCCTTGTAAACAGAATCTCTTAGGCCCTGGCTGGGTAGTTCAGTTGGCTGGAGCAACCTCCTGATACGCTAAGGTTGCGGGTTCGATCCCTGGTCAGGACACATACAAGAATCAGCCAATGAGTGCATCAGGAAGTGGAACAACAAGTAGATGTCTCTCTCTCTCTCCCCCTCCCTATCTAAAACTCATTAAGTAATTTTTTAAAAGAAACGAAAACAAAAGAATCTATCAGTTAGTTCAGGACCAGCAAGGAAAGGGGAATCTGTCTGCACCTTTGGCCAACAATTTCTCTCTGACAGCCTCTTCTGTTCCCCAGACTCATATGGGGCGCACGCAGCCTTCTCTAGGTGGCCGTGTCGGTCCCACACGACCTCCAGCTCGGCTCCTGTAGGACGGACCCACACTCAGTGGCCACTGCAGCTCAACCACTCTGCCTTTCCTTCGGAGGGTTTAACTGCAAGCTGCACTGGCCGTGGCTGAAGCAGAGGCCATGGCTGAGAGAGGGGCCAGGGCCGGAGGAGAGACAGCTGTGAAGAGGATTGTTTTTACTTTTTAGATACGGCTGTGTGCTTTATCGTTGCACTCACTGATTGTGGCCTCCCCTCCTCTAAATGGCATCCGTTTGTTTACCCAGAGAGGGTTGAGGACTGTAAGAACAGGACCCCCCAAAAATTCAGGTTCTGACGTCCAAAACAGGATTTTGCAGCTCCACAACCATCTCAGCAGCCAGGCTTGAGAGGCTTTTCCCGACGCCCTCCTGCCTCTGTCAGCAAACGAGGCATCTGGCCTGGCTGGCTGGCTGGCTGGCTGGCTGGCAGAGAGGGCCCAGCCGGACCCCGAGGAAGGGGAGCACGCTCCTGGAGGGCGGAAGGACGGAGGATGAGAGGGAAGCAGAAGGGAAGTGCACATTCAGATGTGTGTCCTGACTTTCCAGACTTTGGGCCCAAATCTTTGGCGAATGTGTGCTCGGTAAGTGGTGCCGACAGTCGAGTTTCTCTCCAACTTCTTTGTTGGGATTCTAGAAGGAGACAGGCCAGTATTCAGAATGGCCCTGGGCCAAATAAGAGGTGGCCTAACAGAATTAAGATGGCCAAGGGAGCTGGCCAGACAGAGAGGGCTGGGCATGCACTCTGAGCCTCCTCCACACTTTGGCTGGTGGAGAGAACCCAGCCGTCCCTGCTCAGCCCAGAGACGATCCAAGAAGCACAGGCCACCAAGAGCTTGCCGTGGTGAGGGGCAAGCCGACTGCACCAGAGGCTGTGGGGGAGACGCCTGGGCCAAGAAAATGTGGACCAGGAGTTTGTCAGCTGCAGACTTCAGTGGCAGATGCCCAAAGAATACCCCGGGATGGGACGGGCCGGCCACAGCTCAGCTGGGTGTCAGCTAGGACGTGTCCAAGAACCAGCACAGAGCCAGAGGTCCCCTGCCTCTGACACCCGAGGTCACTTAAGCTCCACAATCTATTATATCCCCAGATGCCATTTTGAAAACAAGCCAGGGGAGGAGGAGCAGCTCTGAAAGATGAGCCCTTCAGAGTCATCCAAGCAGAAGCCAAACTACTGCAGAGGCTGAGCCTTTACATTACAGGACTAGTTAAATTACCGACTCAGACTGACGCCACTGGATGAGGCTGAATATGTTTTGTCACCGTGACCCTGCGAGGTAAGGCTCCTGAATGAGATCAGATTAGCTTCAGAGGAAGTAAAGAATCCATATCTCCTTGGCACATCCGAGTGGTCAGGGCCACCCCATGGAAGGCTGTGCACTGCATGGCTCGACCATATGAATAGTGCCCCTGGAGCTACGCAACCTGGGAGGGGGAGGAGGCTGCAAGATCTTTCACAATGAAGTGGCTGCAGGAGCAGGAGGCAGAGTCAGAAAGCTGCATCACCATCCCACAGGCCAGGCTGGCGCAGACAAGATAACCAGGGGGATCCTGCACACTGGTAGCTCTGAAACGCCATTCCAGCCTTCTGACACCCAGTCCCATGGCTGCCCCTGGGGCCTGGGAGGCCTGCCTGCTGGTCATTCTCTGGCCTTCCCTTACTAACGGTCAACAGAAAAGTCTGTTTCTAGTAACCAAGGGAACCCACTTGAGTCATGGGGAGGGACATGTGGCCTTCCCAAGGCAGTTGCCCTGAGCCATTCCAGCATCCAGTCTATACTAGCAAGTGTCCACACTGGCAAGTGGAAGCAACTCATCCCTGACAGCTCAAGACGAAGAGCTCTCCTTGTGCAGCTGTGTCAGGACTGTGTCCAGCATGTCTGCTGGTGTCAAAAGGCTGATACATCGGCCCTGGTGCGTCTCTGAGCGTTCTGTTTCTGGAGACTCACCCTTCCTGAGCCGCAGTAGTGCTTCCTGGCTGCAGCTCCCAGCGGGCACTTGGCATATCCTTGATGGTCTGATTAGTTCTCTTTGCATGTGAGAGAGAAAGCTCTAGAAGTCCGTATGCTAGGCCTACATGCCAGCTTAGAAGTCTGGAAAGAGCAGGAACTCTAAAATTAGATGTGCCTGGGTCAAAATTCTAATATCACCACCTACTAGCTATGTACCCTACCTACCTTAGACAAGTTGCATTGTTTTTTGGAACTTGCATTCTCATCTGTAAAAATGGAGAATAACAATGCCTACTTCTCAGGCAGTTTCCACCCCCTTGTCTCCCCAGGAGTGTGCCGCACACGCTGTCAATAACCAATTGTTGGGTAAGACTTGACTGGCTTTTTTGAAGTCAAGCATTTTTTAAAGTTTCAGAGCTATTCCAGACCCTGCCATCTGGGTGTTCCCTTGGAGCCGTGGGACAAGTCCTCCCTGGATAAGGGAGGAGGGGCAGATGCTGCCAACAGGCTACACAGCAGCCATTTCCATCCACGTGCACCACAGGAGGGCTTTTCACTGTCCCAGTATCCCTCACACTTAGGAGAGGCCCTGTGGGCCAGTTCTGTGCTGGGGGACTCCTGAGAAAGTTTTTTTTCTTATTAATAAAGGAAAACACATAAAAAATCTCTTTCTTGATGTACTGGCTGATATGCTACTTCCTGCCTTTATTTGCATTTGAGAATGTAAAGCCCAGGGCAGTGGCAGCCATCTTGGGCCCATAAGGTGACAGCCCAGGATCCAAAGCCAACATGATGAAGAGGAAGACCAGAAGGACAGAAAAAGTCTGGGTCCTTGATGACACTGTTGAGCCACAAAACCAGCCCTAGGAACGCCTCTGACCAGGCCTCTTGTTCAATAAAACATAAATATGCCTGTAGCTTGAGTCATTCTTGGTTGATTTTGTTGTTGTTGCTGCTGTTGTTGTTGTTGTTACTTATAGCCAAAAGGATAAAGGGTAAAGAAGGAAGGGCAGGAGGTAGCAGATGTCTGAGTGCTTGGACACTCACTCCCTGTGACCTATCTC